GAGCAACGCCATGGTCACTGCCCCTACCAGAAAGCCCCTCCAGCGAGGGTGTCAGTGCCACCTTCAAACGTCATCTGAGTATTAGTATTATACTGCTGTTATGCCACATTACTAATCAAACAGAACATTTTTTTGCCAACCCCCTTCCCCAACCCGTGCTGTCCTGTGTCTCCCAGGTGTGACACGGGACAAAAACTGGCATTGCTTTGCCCCCTGGAAGTGCCAGGCAGCCATCATAACTAACACTGGGAGTCTGTCCATCTGATCTGGCAGCAGGCTCTTTCTGTCTTGAAGAAGGGATCTCTCTACCACCCGGGATTCCCAGAAGTCCTGCTCTTGACTCCTGAACACAGATTCAGGCGCCAAGGGCCGTCCCCACCAACTCCAACTCCTTCAAGGCCCAGAGTGGGAGGAGAAAGGCAGGACAGAGTGCCAGTCAGGAGGATTACCCTTCCCCTACTCCATTCTCCCGTCTCCTGTCACCGGTTTCTGACCGCTGTCGATCCTATCAGGGGTCCATAAAGCGAGGAGGACTCTGGCCCGGGAGAGGGGGGTAGGGGTTAGGCAAACAAGCCAGGGAGGCACTTGGTTGAAATTTAACCACAATATTCTTGGTCTCTATTGTTTTGAGTGAGGCCCAATATTTCCACAGCAGGATTATAGGATCTGATTAACCATGTTAGACAACAATGCCGAGCCGGGATGGGCTTCCCCTTCCCGCTGCCAGTATGAAAAAGTAAATACAACACCCAGATGTCGGAAGGGACATCAAGCAGCCCCAGAGTCCTAGTCCCCAGTTCTAACCCTGCTAATGTTTTTGACCCCAGACTAGGGGGAGGAAGAGTGTGGTACTGCACGCTCCTTTAACTCCTGGCCCTGGGCCCAGCAGGACAAGTAATCCGGGCACAGTCTTCCCAGGTGAGTCAATGGCTGTGTGCTCCCCACACCCTGGAGTTCTTCCAGTGCCTCTTCCGGGTTCCCCTAGGCTAGCCCAGGTCTTCGGGAGCCCAGGAGAGTCTGGTGAGGAGAGGTGAGCACTCATTTAAAGGGTCCAGGAGTGTGGAAAGCAGAGCAACACCTGTTGGGCTCCAGGATAGAGGAACTGAGTGCAGGGGGGTTTCACAGCTGGTAAGAACAATTGAGCCTTTGCTAGAATGCTTTGGTGCTACCTAATGACTTCCCATGTGCCAGGGTACAGACGTGAGACCCCAGCATTGAGGGGAAGAGCCCCAAAGCAAAGTCCTAGGAGATGAGAAAGTGTTCCTTGAATGGTCTGGGATGAAAGATGGAGGACAGATGGGACTGTAGTTCCTCAAGCAGACGGGGATTCCCTCAGGTCCCTTTCCCTCACGCACCAGTACCTCGGATCCCCTCCCTCTTAGGTGGCATCTCCGGAGGCCCTGTCCAGGAGAACAGGAGAGAAAAACGGAGCAATAGGAACCTTTCACAGGACCCCCCAGCAGCGGCTTCCAGGAGGTCACAGCATCTCAAAGAAGCCCTCCCTCTCAAGCGTGGACTCCATTCCCCTCCAGCATTAACCTCTGTATCTAAGTGCCTGGCACAATCAATTTTGTGAGCCCACAGGTTTACTGATGTCAATGATGGGGACGAGGAAACAACGGCCATGAGATCTGAGTGTGGCGGCTTCCTTGTCATATGTAACTTACTCCTTTTGAACAGTTTCTTCTTCAGGAAAATCGGAAGATGGGCAAACATCAGAGCAGCTTAGAAAAGCTCCCGACCGTATGAAAACCCAGCTGACGAAAGCTGCACCCTTCAGGAGTGGAACACTCTACGGGGACAGTTTCCGAGTCAGGGTCAGAAACCGGCCCTGCTCCCAAGCAGTATAATCTAATGGGAGAATGAAAACAAAAAGCACATACAAACCTGTACATAAACACAGATTACGTTAACAGCACAGATGGTGAGGGGTGAGTAGAACACATGAAGGGAGCTTCCCACATCAGGAGGAGAGGTTATGAAGTGGATATTAGGTTTCCTGTACACTCCTCGGAGCGAACCTTCCTAGTTCTGGCAGTCGGAGAAAGCAAGGCCCACCGTCACTGGAGAGAAGAAAATGCCCTGGTGGCAATGTCTAGGATGAGATGAAATCAGGATCCGGGGAAGAGGCACCTTTTCCATTCTCACTCCTTCTACCATCTCTGTACTGAGAATAACACATGGGGCCGCTGCTCATCTCCCGAGGACCAGCGTGAAGGAGGGAAGGGCTGCGGAGACCGGGCGGTTTAAATGAAGAGGAAGGCAACGAAAGGGAGTTCGGATGTACCGCAAGGTAAAATTAGGAAGCAGGAGGCCTGAGTGTGCAGCAGAGTCGAGGCCCCACTGCAGGGGACCTGCGTCAGACCCAAGAAGGGTCCTAGATCTGACAGGGACGGGGGCTCCCCAAGTCCAGAGCAAAAGAGCACTGACTTCACTCTTTGCTACCTGACAGCCTCGGAATTCCAGGACGCGCTCCTTAGGATTCAGCGTGAGGACAGAGACTAGAAGCTCCTTCCTCCTTTCTCAACAACTTGACTATCCTTTGGAAACACTCCTTGATCTGGGAGGCTGGCTGACAACCACAGGAGAAAAGAGAATGACCCTAGTGGGATTTTCCAGGACCCGGCCTGAGCTCTGCCCTCAAGGACTGCTGGGCAAGCCCTCGGTGAGGCCGGAGGAGAGGAGGTGCTGCCCAGCTGGAGTGCTAAGGGATGCAGATTTCCCTTCCAGCCAGAGCTGGCCGTCCTAGCTGGCCGTGGGGGAGGGGAGAGCCAGCCGGCCAGGCCAAGTAGGCCTTGCAGCCTAGGTGGCGCTATTTCTCTACTTTTTAGGTCAAGTTCCTGCAGGAACTTCCTCGAGGTCTCTAATCCTGCTCCTGGTTTGCTGGCTTGCTCGTGTAAACCACCTTATATTATTTTTTTTTCTAAAAATACTCCAAAGCAATTGAAAGAGTCCCTTCTCCCACCAGCCAGCCCTGGCCCCAACCCCGGCCCCGGGGAGCGGGCGGGTAGGCGGGGAGGTGGGCCACTGCTTTATTAAACACAGGGAAAACTAATATTTACGGAATAAAATTTATGGAGCAGCCACGAGAATTCGACCCTTTTATGTGCATGGGGAGTGGGGGCTGGGTCAGGCTGGGGGCCTCAGGGAGGGGCCCAAGCCAGGGGGGCAGGGCTGGAACACAGCCTGGTTCGGCCAATTCATCAAGGCAGGGATTTCCCTGGAGTTGCCCGGGGAAGCCAGATTCTCAACCACCACCCCTAGGTTTTGGGGGTAAGAGCTTCAGGGCAAGAAGGCCCGAGGCAGGGCCTCTGGAAGCAATGTTTACCGAAGGGTGTGTTTGGGCAATGTCCCCGTGGAGACAAGCCACCTTTGGGGACAGAGTGGGCAGTGGATGGAGCGGTCATTAGGCATATTCTTATTTAACCTTTTTAAAAAGTACACATTCTTTTGGGAACATGAAAAAAGTATGCTCTTATGATTTTACTCATAATTTAGGGGGATTCACACCCTGCTGGTCCCCCTGTGATTACAAATGTCTGCTCTGGGGACTGCACTCTTCAGGTAGAGGGATTATCATGGGAAAGAACCCGTACTTTCTCTCAGCTTGCTGGGGAAGTCATTTCTTTTCCCATGTGGCATCATGTCTTATAGATCCTGAAATCTGGCTATGTAAATTATGCCGAAAAGAAACTGAACAGCAGAATGAGCCACCTATAGATTGCCTTTCCTGGTTCCCAATTCACTTCAGTGACAGTCACGGCTGCGGGGTGCAGGCACCCGGGGACACCGGGGACTGGCGGGAAAGCCAGTCATCGGCAGCAACTGGGGTGAGCCCCGGCGCAGCTCTCAGACTCGGCCTGCAGATAAAGACCAGGGGGTAAGCCCCAGAGTCCTTAAAGTTTCCTGCCTTGAAGAGCAGTGAGGATTAGCACATCCTATTGAAAGTAGGCAGGGACCTAGGAGAAGGATGTTACACAAAAGACAGGAAAGGAGGACCTGACAACCCTCCTGGAAAATGTTTTCAGTGATGCACAGAATGATGAACTCAGCGGTCTGGATTCAAATGCCGGCTGCACTCATTAGCTGTGTGACCTTTGACAGGCCACTTAGTCTCTCCAGTACTCCGTCTCCTAGTGGCTTAGCAGTATCTTCCTCACGTGATGTTGTGAGGCTTCGATGCCAGGCGCTTATTAACCTGGTATGCATTAACGGCTCAATAAGTATTTGTGTTGTTCTCTTTATAATCATTATTCTTTGATTATTGCTTGGACCGTCCGCTCTCCCATGATTTGGCATATGGATGGAAACACCGGCTCCAGCTGGAGAGGATCTGAGGGTGAAGAGGCATCCGACGGTCCTGGTCCTATGTAAATAAACCGGAGAAGACCTCTGTGGGCTCTGCCCCCGACCCCTCCCTCTACCTAACAGCTCCCAGTTAACATCTAGCAGAGAAGGCCAAGGGACTTTGCGAATCCTGGTCTGCTGAGTCTTGCCAGATCTGCCCAAAGAGCTGACTTTCTAAATGTCTAAGACTCTGCATATCTCGGAGAGCCTTTACATTTTTTTCTTGCTATGCACTATTCATTCTGTAGGTCAGCTGCGTTGTTCCAGAGAACTCCTGTGGCCATCTCCTGTTCCCTGTCACCCTATCTTTCCTAGTTCCTCTGGTCACTGTTATGTGAGGTGGAGTGATGGGTGGGAAGGTGAAACTCCCTTTTCTCCCACTCCAGTGGGAAACTACCTTGTCCCAACTATTCAAAGCTCTTTGTAATATTAATCCCATGTTGTAGTTTGCCCTGTTGTCTATGCCTTGGAATCAGAACCCCCCCACACCCCCCCAAAAAACCCCCACATCAATTGGGCAAAGGAGAGCACAAGCCATCTGCTCTGCCTGGTGCCCACCATGGAGAGCGTTCTCAAGATTAAAGTTCCTATGTAGGGGATTAGCACATCCACAGCAGAGAAGCATAAGAGAACCTGAAGGACTGGACTGAGGGCTTAGACTTGAACCTGAGACAATAGCGGGGTGGGATCCAGTAAAGTGAAGTGCATAATGGGTTCCACAGAATAAGTAAGCAGGGGAGTGTAAGGGTTTTTATTTCATGCTAAAGACAGAAGTGAGTCTCTGAGGAGCACCTGGAACTGGCTAGGGAGACACTTGAGAAAGGTAGACAAGGCTTCCTAAACGTGTTGTGCCTTTTTGCTGACGTGTCCTGTATACCTAATGTCCACAGTAGGGTCCTGGGTCTATCTAGACAACCACCACCAAAAGAGAGTGTGGGATTCCTAGACTGGCTTCCACTTGGATAGGCAATGCCAGTGCCCGAGGGGTTGGGGCCAAGATTCTCTCACTGAACAACATACTGGCTCAGGTGGCCTTCGGTGACCTGGACAGACTTCAGTGACCCTGCCTCTGACTGGAACACCATGTCAGAGACACTGCTGCCGCAGGTGCTCCTTTCAAGGCGGCTCCAGGAAACTACTCTCCAAGTCCATCCTCAGCGGCTGAGAGTAGGCAGTTTAACTGAAGAGCCCCTTTAGCTTCTTCCTCTTGACCTTGGACAGCTGAGGTCTCTGCACAGGGCCCAAAGTACCCTAGGAAAAAAAGAAACCCAAATTAATAGGGGTTTTGAGCATGCCCACTTCATTTAGGAAGGAACTTTCTTCTTCCCGTGGCCCTGGCTTGGGCGAGGCCTTCTTGAAGTGGCCAGCACAGTGTTTTGGAGTCTGTGCCAGGTGGTGAATGTGATATAAGACTCTGCAACAGGCGCATGCATCCCTTCTCCCCCCGGGAACAACCCCGCACACCAAGGAAGTGGGATAAGGTAGAAACGAAGTCGAGGTCCACTGATCAGTATAAGAACTGCAGCAAGGAGCTGTAAAAACTATGACTCTCCATCTAGAAAGCCACAGTTTGGAAGCCTGGTGACAAATATCCACCAATATTAAGACAGCATCAACCAGTTAGCTATTCCAGGGACCAAAGACTTGGGGGCTATAGGCACCCGTGGACTCCTCCAATGTGGAGGACGCTATCCAGGAAGCTGCTCATGACTCACTGTGGGCTCCTTCTCAGGCTCTGGGTGGGATGATGCCGAGGAAGCTGGCTCTTCCGGCTGGTTCAGAGGTTGGCTGTTGGTTCCGTGTGGGGAGGCACTACCTGAGGCCTGAGGATCTCCTGAAATCAGAAAGATCAAGGGAAGATGGTGATGAATGCCTTCTTCTTACCGGGAAGACATCAGCATTTGCCAAGCATTCTGACACAAAGGCCCAGGGTAGGCACTAATATACGAACAGACCGGAGTAGCCACAAATCCAACTTCCAGCCGACTTTTGAAAAGCCCTCTTTCTACGATGAAGAGTGCCCAGGTCCACTTTGACCAAGTAGGAAAAGAGCCTCCCTGACTCAAAAAAGCCAACTGCTCTTCTCCACGTTTCCTGACATGTCTCGGGTAGGACAGCCATCTTTCTCCTGGTTCGCCTGAGGGCCTAGGTCAGTTTAACAGAACCTCCCACAATGGTGAGAATGTTCTGTGGCTTCTGTAGCCTCTAGTGGCTGTTGAGCACTTGAAAAAATAAACTTTTAATTTTACTTAATTTTTATTAATTTAAACTTAAGTAGTCACAAGTAGCTTAGAGCTACCACAAAGCTAGACCCCAACTCGAACCCCACGGAGACCAAGACCCCTGGAGCTCCTCACCGGTGTCTTCCAGCTTCTGCCTCACTTGGACCTCTTGTGTGGCGACTGCCGTGTACAGATTTTGTAGACTCGTGACAAAGGGTCTTCCATCACCAACACTGCATGCCTCTGGTAGTTTCTATGGGGGAGAGGAGACGCTGTCGTTGGTTACACTGTACTGCCAGAGAAAGGGGACTTGATATCCCACTGGCAGAAGTGGCATCAACCCCAAATGAACTTATATAAAGAAGTCAGATCCCATCCGCACGCTTGTCAGGACCAACACAAAGACCTCTTGGTTAATCTCCTCCGAAAGGCAATTTCCAAATGTGTATCTTTATTTTCCCCAATACTTAGGTCTATTATGTTTTCCCATGAACACCCCATAGGTCTCTGGGCTCTTTCTTCTAAAGGGATGGTATCAGGAAATCATTATCCCTGAGCTGTAAAAATTACTATTTTAATTGAGTTCACTCCTAAAACTCCATACTACAGAGACAAAATGATGAATGAGGAGGTCCAGGGTGGGGCAATGGGCGCAGTAGGGGAAGGAAAGACTGAGGACAAGGAAAAATTAGGGGGTTGCAATGTTCAGTCAGAGGAGGTGGGAGAAATAAAGCTTCCAGAACTTTGGGGGCTCACCTGACATCTTACCGTCCCTACTGCAACCCCATTGTGCTTTACTATAATCCACAGACTCACAACGGAGAGTATCTCCCCTCAGGGGGGGTGGAAGTGGGTTCCTAATGAGTGAAAAAACTCTGGCTCTTTTAAAGTATAGAGCGCAGAAATATATATATATATATATACACACACACATCAGAATTTTGGTATATTTTTGATATTAAAATTTCCTGAGGGGGGTTGGTGATTAGAAAAAATATCTTAAAAGGTTCCTTAGGGAAGTGATAATAAAAAACAAGCTGAGAAGCACTGTTATAATCACATTATATTTATGTTTCCCTCAATACACAATGAACTGTGTGGGTTTTTATTCACAGCAAAATGCTTTGCCTAGTTCCACTTTCCTGTATCGGCTGAATTGAGGTGAAATAATGCTGAAGACTGAAGAAACTGCAATAAAAATGAGATGAAAGAGTACGATATCCTGTGTTCCCAAACTCAGCTGCCCTTCCGAGTCTTGGCCAGGGCCCAGAACTACTTCATCGTCCCTGTGCGTGCCAATCGCGTGGTTCCCAGCCAAGTCAGCAGGTCTCCAAGGAAGTCATACCGGCAGCTCCTGTGGGAACCAGCCCAAGAATCCTTCACTGGTCCACATCTCTGGTCAAGGGCACTTCCTCTGGGCTACGAGGGCACTCATTTCTGAAAACCCAGTGCGGGAGAGGGATGGAAGAGGGAAAGAGGGAGAAGCCGTGAAGCAGCTGCTGAACCCCAGTCAAGATCGTACAGGTACCTTTCCCTGAGCACGGTGGTGGCTGAAAAATCTTGTTCACCCCAGGACATGCGACTTCTATTTCTACTCCAGCCTGATCTCCCCCATAAAGACCACACCACTCTTGGACTTCCACTGGAAACCACGGACAATGGATCAGAAGCCCTGAGGACAAACTTTACTCCTAGCCATGAATCACACCAGGAGGGAAACAGCTCTTTTGAGCAGCATGACCTGAGGAAGACGCCGAGACCAGAAAGGTCAACTACGAGGCCCCACACCTCCACTGACCTCCACCGACCTCACTTCCCTTCCAGGCTCGGCTCTCCGATTCCTAAGCCACCTCCTCCCCTGGAAGGTCCTCCACCCCACGGCTGGGGAGCCCGGGCAGTTGAGAGGCCAACACTGTTCCCCTTCCTTCTATCTCAAGATCACCCTTCATTTTGCTCAAGAAGTGCGGCCTCCCCTTGCATCACCCACACGCAGCTCGGCTGGCACTGTGCTGTGCACACAGACGGCCAGGCAGAATTGAGGCAGTCCGGGTTCTTGCCTCCTGTCCTTTCGAGAGAACGGAACAGATTCATCGGTTTTCCAGGGTGACCTTTAGCCGGGTCACGTATGTAGCCGCAAAATGAAGTGCCAGAATGGAAAGACCACTAAAGCCAGTGCCATCGGGGACCTGAGTCCAAATCTAGAGCCTACATGTCAGCCCCCCTCTGTCTTTCCCCTTCTCGGAGAGAGCCGGTCGCACAGTTGCTGCCGAAGCTTTTCTACCTGAGTATATATTCTCAGAAAAGTACCAGGAAAAGAATATCGGTCCATCTGCTGATATTTACCATGTGCTAGACACTGTTCTAAGTGTTTACTTATTGACCTATTTCTGTCTTATTCACTGGTATTTCCTTGGCACCTAGAACAATCTGGCTCACAGTAGGGGAGCAGTAACTGTTTGTGAATGAATGAACATGGTGGCAATAGTATGACCCCATTTCCCTGAGGAAGTCACAGCTAGTAAGTGGTGAAACAGGATTAGAATCCAAACAGTCTGGCTTCAGGGCCCACAAATATTATGACTGCCCTATTTACTTCTCTGAACAGCAGGATTTTAGTCAGCAGGGCAATACAGCCTTTCCCAGGATCGCAACCCTCGGTCCCTCACATCACAGATCTGCGTGCGTTTCTGTCCAGCCCAGGAACAAGCTCCCTTGGGTGACAGGAAAGAAGCAAACAGATAAAAAAGAGGCAGCTGGCCCTTCCTGGAAGTCTCGGGCTGAAAGGCCACACCCTTAATCTTATTCTAGCCGTTCCCTCCCGTCACTGCTTCCCTGGGCATCATCTACAGGACGTGCTGGGGAGGAGAGGCGGAGAGGCCTGAGCCTGGGAAGGAGAGACTTTGCAGCTCCCTGCCCAGGACAATGGTAGGGGCCAGCTGGGGCGGGTGGCGGAGATCAAAGGGAGAATGCTGGAGTCAGGACTAAGAAAAGCAAATAGCAGGGCCCCCTGCTACAAGGATGTCTGAGCCAGGAGCAAGGTGTACCAGCCACAAAGCGGGTCACTGCCCAGAGCGGGGAGGGGAAGAATACTGTGTAATGTGTTCTCCTGTATAATGTGTTCATCTGATTAACCCAGAATCAATTCTACACAGCAAAGCGGCTGAGATTCTACCGTGTGCCAAGCCCTACAGGCTTGTGGGTGGGAAGATGGATGCAGCAGCCCTTCCCTGCCCAGAACAGGAGTAAGTCAGAGTTTCTGCCTCAAAGGGAGATAGGGAGATATATACAAACACATACATTTTCAAGCGTTATGCTATGGTGCAAACAGAATTACAAAAGATAACAGGAACTTAGAGAAGAAGAAAGGGACGGATTTTGACTGAGAGTCCTCCGAAAGCTTTGGAGGCGGAGACATCAAGTGAAGCCTTGCAAGGTTAGAGTTGGAATGCGTTGGGAGTTTCTGAGGCGCGCAGGTGTGAAGAGAGAGGACGTACAGACGTGTCTCGTGGGAGATGAGACTGGAAGGCTAAATTCGTACCCACCAGACGGCAAAGGACGTGGTTCTCCGAGTTTTGTTTCACCAAGTGGCCTTCTCCGCCGCTCCACTGCTCTCCAAGGCTTCCTGGGCTCCAAACTAACACTGATACAACGACGAGGAGTCAGGGACTTCCTCTAGGCTTCCCTCTTTAGTCTTTCTGCTACATCTGCCTGAACGTCAAGTGCAGCGTGAACGTCTTCGCTACTTGCCGCTGGCACTGTCGCGTTTCAACGGTCACAGGACCTAAACACAGTCCTCTCCTGCCTCCGGGGGCTGTTTCGCTCTCCCCTCTCCACTCCGCTAGGACGTTAGCTCCTGCCATACGGCCACGCAGGGAGCTTTAAGAAGACCAAAGTTACAGAAATCTCACAGGGCATTTTAGTTCCCCTCTCGTCCCTGCTGCAGCCCGTCTAGGTTCGAGGGTCCACACTCCCCTCTCGGCAGTAACTGCCATCTCCATCAGGTCTGAAATTCACTCCTGTGGTCCAGGATTCCTAAGACCCCTTCCTACTCTAACCCCCCACAGGGTCTGTTTCAGAGATCCCACCCCCACCCCCATCTCATCTCTCCTTTGGGGCTGTTTCAGAAAAGAGACCTTCAGGAGCCTGGGGAAGGAAAGGCTGGCTGCGGATGCAGATTTAAAAGAAGAAAAGTGGGAAATGAGCAAACTGGAGCTCCCCGGCATCAGCCCTAAGCAGGTCTGGTGCTGGTACCTGCCCCGGAGGCTGGCACAGCCCCCAAGCCTCTGACAGACCGTCACAACCGCAGGTCAGGGCCCCCCACGGTGACTTCCTAAGGGTAAGACCTCCTCTCCTACCTCTTGCAACCTGCTAAACTCTGCTGGTACTGGATACAAGCTTCTGTCCTAGGGAGCCCCGGTCTTAGGAAATCATCATCAGCTCCCATTAGGGTTAAGAGCACATTGGAAAACTCTTCTAAGGTCTCACATTACCAAAGGGTTACCAGGATAAATAGAAGGGAGCAAGAAAAATGGTTTAGGAAGGAAACCCTAAAGAGAAAGGCTCTTCAAGAAATAGAACTCTTGCTCGCGCCTCCACCCCAATCCATCCACTTACCAAATACTTACTGTAGGTGTACAGTGCTCAGGATGACTTAGATGCTAGGGCTGTAGTACACTGAACAGAAGAGATAAACCCCCCTGCCCTCCTGAAGTTTCCATCCTAGAGAGGGGAGCACAAAGTGGCGATGAAGCCGTGGAGAACAAGCTGGCGCAGGAGCAGGGGTGTGTGAGCACTTAAACAGGGGCCAAAGAAGCCCGCTGAGAAGGTGACCTTTTTTAAACTCTGTTTTTCAGTAACAGTTTGCATTTAAGCTATTTCATATTAGTTTCAGGTGTACAGGTGACATTTTTAAAAGACCTAAACGGAAGTGAGAGAAGGGGCCATACACCTGGGTCAAGCGACCTGACTCCCAGTGGGCCTGGGCCAGGCCTGGTTTATGCTTCTTGTTTGCTAACAGAGCCCCCTTTCTCTCTTCTAAGTGTCCCACTTTGGACAATAAATTAGTTGGTCACTCTATCTCAGATACAGTGTCCACGTGGATGTGTGTTTGTTTGAAATCGTGAGATAATGAAGTGTATTAGCTTTTTCCCCTGTAAGAATGAAATGATCCGGTTGACGTTTTAAAAGGATCGCTTTGAGTGGAGCAGGAGAGAAGTGGGCAGATCTGCTGCGAGCTGCCACAGTAACCAGGTG